AAGACGATAGAAGCGACATTAAAATTCTGCTTACATAGGCGCTAATGACGTGAAGGAGACAAAAAGATATCTGCATAGTATGTTTCCACATAGTAAACTGGCGAGAGCTGAAATAACAGGAAAATCAACTTCCATAATGGAGAAAACTCTCACGAACTCCTGTTTGTTCTGGAAACTGTGCTTGTTACAATCGCTCTAAGCATTTCAATGCTGGCTGGTTGATTAGATCCTTTGCAACTTTTCAAAAATGCATCGTTGTTTCAGTATGACTTGGTTATTTTTATACTAGAATATCCGCAAAGGCAAAACCTAAGTACCGAGCTCGCTCGAGAGTTAAAATGAGAAATAGTAGCCTGACGGGTCCGGCTGACAGATCTTGAATGTAGCAGCTCCAAAAAGTCCAATTTATTTTTTAGGTCCTACCATTCAAAGCGAATTCGACAGCCCGGGTGAATACAATAAGCTTAAAAGCATTTTCAAATGAGTTAAAATGTCTCGTTGTGATCTGTCAGCACCGTTTTCGTCAATTAATATCTCTTAAGGATCAGCAGCCTACCACTCAACAGCATTATTTATTTGGGCGCAATTCCGTTGATTGCTTTCCTTCCCAGATCAATGTTTACTTTGAAACTTGCTGTAAAATCGATTAATTGCAGAAAACATTATCGTTGATACCGCCAAATTTGCGAAAATACTTTTTATAGCTTTATAGTCCGAGGCAGTTAGGTCCCTTAGCGTGCAAAATTTCCCACTATGCTGACCCTGATAATAATTGAAGGAAACACTCTACACTTAGGTGATTCAGATCAACGAGTTCGAAGAGATTAGAAGGAGCCATGTTTACATTGCTCGTTGCCAAAATTGCTTAACTTTATTGTGTACTTTTGACTCATTTGACTACCATTGCCTACCAAAGTGACAGCGCTGTATCAATACAGTAATAATAGGGAGATATTGAAATGCTGCCGTCCACTATTAATAATGACAAGGAATGGCTGATGTTAAAATTGTTGCAGAATTAGAGTTACTAGTCCATGTATATATTTTTTTGTCTATTAGTATTGGGAGCATTTTCGTGCACGATTAACAAAATTTCTATTCCACTTTTATACTCCTTCGTGTTTTGCAACATCGTTTTTTGGTGATCTAGCTACAAAATTTGTTATGAAGTTTTGGAAGCAGTTATTTTAGATGGTGGGAGGGTTTATGATTTTCAGAAACTAAACTTGCAATCAGCAAACAGTGAAATACAAAATAATGTCGAGAAAACGGCAAAGCAAACTGCTTTCCCTTTATAATTCTCCTATATTCTTATACAGGGTGTCCCAGAAGTCGACGTCAAGCCGAAACCGGGTGATAGGCAAAGTCATAACAGCTATCAGAAAAATATTTAAAAAAAATGTATGTATGTGTTTTGAAAATTATAGGTCTTTGAAAAAGATATAGAAATTTCACACCCTACGGCAGTCTGTCATCTCCTGTTACTACAAATATTAACTTTTTTTGGATTTTATTTTTACAATGTAATGATGAATAATGCATCTTCAAACTGGTGTCTCAACCTTACTGCCAACTTTTCTCGTTCAGGAAAAATTGCCACTTATTTCCCAACCAAGTATTCCAAAGTAAAACTTTGCTCAACTTTAACTGGCTGTACTGGAAAAAAATGTACTACGAGAGTTTGGCAAGTAACCTTAAAAGTTGGCGCATTTAATAACGATTCCAAAATGGTATAACATTTAGAAGATTACTCGTTAACTTATGCACAATTTTTATTTGAAGAAAAAACTGATGAAAATTTTTCAAAAGTTCCTAATTAAACAGCGATTATGAAAACGTACAAGGACCCTTAAAGATAACTGTTTGCACAACAGTGGGCGTCAAAATGCTGCTGATGATGATTTACCTTTACAGCAAATGCTCAAACTGTTTTCCTTCAGCCGCAATACACGCTCGACATCTTCTTAAAAAAGATCGGGTTATTAAACGAGCGAATCCACGGTTATTAACAAACTCAGCTGCTTCCAATAGTCTTTGCCGTAGCTCAGCTACATTTTGAATCGGCTTGAAATACACTTTTTCTTTTACAGTTCTCCAGTAAAAAAAAATCTAACGGATTCAAATCTGGTTACCGGGCTGGCCACGGTATTGTACCAGACCGCCCTATCCATGTGCCTGGAAAGTTTTGATCGAGATACTCTCTCACTGAGAGTGCATAGTGCGCTGGGCAGCCATCATGCTGAAACCACATGTCCCTGTAAATACTCAGTGGCACGTCCTCCAATAAATTTTCTAAATGATTTTGCAAAAAACCTAAATAAACCTCAGCAGTCAAAGTCTCTGGGAACTCAAACGGACCGATTATTTCACCATTTAAAATTCCTGTCCTTGTCTGTTGAAAATTTGCGTTAGTTTACTCTCTACGCTCAAATAATGGTTTTATTTTGAGCGTATCTACACATTTTTGTATTTTGAATTGTGTCGAATCTGTTTAGGATTGATTCCAGAGCGGTCCTTACGGCACTCCATTTTAAGTCGAAATAAAAGGTCAGGATCGCCACAAATTCTGCAACATTGCATCATTGGTTCGCTTGGTAACACCGCATCTCGTACGTTGCAAGGTAAGATTTCCACCTCCATGATCATAGATAGATGGTCAGTACCCATCTAGCGCTCCTAGGGGAGTGTCGTCCTGCTTTGAAATGGTTTTCACCTGCGTACACGCAGGCAGTGATAATTTGTATTGCGTAATGCTATTTGTCTGACCGCTCGCTGTCGCAAAATGTAACAATAACTCAGGATATGTTGATTTTATCACCATCGGTGGAAATCAAAGATAATTCAAAAATAAATTAAAACAAAATTGAAATTAATAATGATAATCAAAATGTGAACAAAATATTGAATTAAGTCTTCGAAACCATCTCGTTCTTGAGTTTTGACCTAACCTATTGTATAGAAGCCTGTGCGAACCGTTTCTGGTGTTACATATTGGCAACGCGGTAGATTGCAAGACCTTCTGAGTTAACGTTGCTAGGCAATGTGGTGATTCCCTTGGCTTATCAGCCGGCTTCTACCTCTTTCTAACATGTATTGATACACACTTCCCGCGCTTGCCTCTCTTTCTCGCTGATCGTAAGCCGTCAGACAAATTTGATTTCAGGACTGATTGCCGATGAAATGGATTTTAAACAAGCAATAACGCTTCCTTAAGGGAGGTTTAAGGGAGGAGTTAACATTTGCATTCCACACTAGTCTGTGACAGCTTCTTCCATCATAGGTTTTTTAAACTTGAAAAATACTCAAACTTTTCGAAATTCGCAGGATTTCGACATTTTCAAGACTACCTGAATTTGCAAAATTTCAGAATTTTCAAAATCTGTAATATTTTCGGAACTTGTAAAATTTCTAGTGTATGTATTTGAAAAATATTGGTGTTTTTTTAAACTTAAATAATAATGTAAAATATCTTGAAAGTCCGAAATCCTATGTTGGAAACCGCTACAGCCTACTATGAAATGCAAATTTTAAATTATCCCTTGGAGAAAGCTTATTGATTACTTAAAACCCAAGGAGAGACCATTCCTCAAACAGCAGTCAATCGTCAAAAAACGTCTATAAATATGACCTTCAGAGCGCTGAATTCGAATTGTGAATAAGAAGAATGAAGAAGTCGATCTTTACAGAGTTAAACATCACAAAGGGCTACGAATATTGTTACTGTTGAAAATATATCGCCTACTTTGTTCACGTGATACGTAGATATGGTCTGGAGAAACTTGCAAAACAGGTAAGGGGAGAACAAGATACTTATGTGTACCATATTACAGAGGAAGTCGGAATATTGGGAACGATGGAAACCCACCACGAAACTAAGTTGAGGTGAAATTCGATGTCGTATGTATGTATGTATGTACTTTCAACTTCTGTGTACCCGCTAAGTTGGGTAGTGGTCCAATTTATTAGCATCAGGCGAGTACGATTAAGTAAAAATGGCGTCAAGTGGGTTGATTCTGCACTTCTTACGCAACGCCGTCATCAGTTCATAAAGGATTCAGTTCAGCAGAATTTAAATCCTCTAAGAAAAGAGTCAGTTGACACGTGGGTACAACAGCAAAATTAAACGTAAAAACGCAGTCAAACAGACCCATACAGTAAGTGATAGACATTCTTTCCCTGTCCTACTGGCAGTTACTGTCCATTTGGCAACATTGTTTCTTTCCACACCTGCATTTTGTGCAAGGTTCGTGTATATGTTTTTCCGCTCCAACAAAGATACATACACTCGTATAAGCCGGACTAGACGAATCTAAAACATTTTCTCCATCGTTCTAAGGTTTAATGACAAATTTATGGATAAATCTATCATTGAAATATAATAATGATAATAATTGTCTTTTTGATTTGTAATAGTATTACAAGAGGCGAGATTTAGATATCTATCCTATTACAAATAAAAAAGACGTTAATTATTATTATCATATTTCAATCATAGATTTATCCATAAAAATGGCTAATAGATGGACAGAATTACAGAGTTAGGAGTGTATAAATATACTCCGAGAGAAAACGCAAATTTCTGAAACGTCAAAAAACGAAGTTTGTGCGATTATTGTATTTTTTCTTTCGTTTTTTGCCTTCGCTGCCACTGGGCCGATTTTCAAAACTACAAAGCTTGCGTTCTTAGCATAGTAGTAACATTGTGTAAGAATTTCATCAAAATCCACCGGTACGTCTTAAGTTATAGCGATTAGCGGACAGACTCACCGACGGAAATGAGTCACATGTTTTTTTGTGATGTATACACATTATATCATATAACGTCCAAAAAACAATAACTCATTTTCGAAATTTTTCGCGATTGCAATACTTCCTCGACCAATGGCCTAGGAAATAAAATGTAAGAACTTTACTGAACGAGTATAGTTGCAGGAAAGCTATTTCAATGAGGAATTAAACACAATTCAAACATTCAGATATTTATTACACAAAGTACATAAGCCAAATGTTACTAAAAAATAAGTGAATAATTTAAAGAAAACGGATGCGTTAAATTACTCGAGGAAAACGAAGCATCAAGAAAGTAATTCGTATAATCTTACAAAACTAACATACATAATTTAAAACAAAGCATTTTCACAAAATATCACAGACTTTTATGTTCATACTTTTTACATATTCCAGAAAAGTAGCATAGCTTCTCTGATGCCAGAAAAGTTCTATTAGTATCTAACAAAGGAATATGAACTCTCACTTTTGTGTGCAATTTACAACATATTAAATATGTCGATCCCTTCATAAAAATATAAATATATTTTTTATTTGAACACCAAAAAGGTAAAATATATAAAATCAAAACGTATTGCTATAAATGTTGTTTTCCAAATAAATGGTGTCAATCCAGGTACTGACCCTTGTGGTATTGTTAAGAAAACAAAATTTTGTTTTAATTCCTGAGAAATTCAAACTACAGTCTAAATATTTTCAATAGGTGGAAAGACAGAAATCATTTTAAAAATGCAGGTATTTACTAGTTTCTTCTTTTGTGAGCTGCCCACTTGTTTATGCTTTTCAATATTTCCACTATAAGAACAAATACACTATTTTCAATCACATTTTGACATCAGAAAACTACAACAAATAATCATACACTTTAATTATCAGAACAGTTGAAATTAAAGTCTGCAAACTCAGGACTCAACCACCCTAAACAGATACAATAATGCTGAAATAACTGAATAAGCAATTCTTTCTCATCCAAAAATTCAATTCGTTCTATCCTCTGCCTCTCATTTTCAGGTATAGAATAGTAAATCTGAACCATATCCCAAGCTTTTGCCCCCATCCATCCATTGTTCAGGAATCTCGATTTCTGTGATTCTACGTTCTTGCAATATGCTATACCTGCCATGTTACAACCTCTTGCTTTGAGATTACCTAACATAACATCCCCAAATGTATCATTAATATTACACATCTCATAATTGATAAAAAGCCCTGTTTTGAATTTGGACGATATCCATGATAAAAGTTTATTAACACAATCATTTTCAATGTAAACCAGAACACATTCTGCAATGAACAATGTGGGTCTGTTGAAGTCAACTTCAGCCTGATGTAGCTTGACTTCCAGCTGATTTATATTTCGAATATCAGCCCCAATGCAGTGGTAATTTCCAGCATGTATATCTGTAGCACTTAGCTTCACCTCACCATCCTGGTCATATATTCGATCCAACAGGGGTTTATTCTTTTTGATTAGGTAGCACTTTTTTGCAGTTACTGAAGGGAAGTCTACCTGCAAAAAAAGCAAAAACTCAAAATTCACCCTAGAGTTGACAAAAGGGAATTGGCACCTATTGATAAACAAATTGGCACCTATGGATAAACAATGTGCAGGAATATTACCTCTACAAAATTAGCAATTTGTATCCCTTCGTCCTTAAGTTTCCAATATAATGTGTCAAATCCAGACCCAAAATTCAATATTTGTGCTGAGCTTCCAGCCTTACTGATGAACTTCTGTACAAAGGTTTCAATACCCTTGACTCTGGCATAGTAGCCCCTGTTTATTTCTGGGGCCCTTTTTTCCACATGCTTTACAAAGTATTGGATGTATTTGTCGTTCCAGTATCCTAGTTGAACTGCACCCCTTTTACATTCGCTGGCATCGTCATTTGTTGCCATCACTGGTTCATCCCCCATTTTTACCTACAAAAGTTCACAAATGTAACAAAAAGTTGAGGTTAGGTGCATTTGACATTCATAAGTATCAAAAAAATTAGTGGAAATTGTGTACTTACAGAAAGATCCAGGTTCAATAGTCAGTTTTAAATACTTTTAATCCGGATAAAAGTAGTTCAGCGATATTTATCGTGCAAATGCAGCAGACCCAAGTTTTCTCTGCAACAGTCAATAGAAAACTGAATTTACTTCGCTGTAGGCAACCCGCTATGCAGTTGTGCCTTGCGCGTTGCGTAGGTTGGCCTGCCGGTCGATAAATAGATTTGGCCGGTGTTTCAAATTCGTAAGTGTTTTACAGGGGGCAATCGCTAAGTACCTTTTCACTTTTATAAGCTTTAGGTATTAGATGTTTTCACGGTTTTTGGTGAGTCGCGGTAGAACTACAGGAATTACTTTCACGCATCAATTTCTCCTAATCATACATAATAATGCAATCGGCCTCCATGCTCAGACGTTTATTTGTGTAAATTCAGACATACCTGTTTTTAGTTTTGTCTCACCGCCTTGAATATTTTATTGTCGACATTTAATGCTTGTCACTGACAGTATGACAAATTGCATCTCATGATCATGCGAATTGTGTTAGGCTCTGTTGGTATTCGATTAAAAACGAAGTAGTGGCTGAAGATGCAACAACTATGTCGGCAGTTTGAATAAGAAGCATGTTCAGAAACTAAGTAAACGCAAAGTTCATCTCTATCACAACATTCAGGCGTGTGTGCAAATGCGAGTAGCATCTACTTGCGTTACGGGTCGATTTGCGCAGTATGCAACTTCCCTAACAATCTGTTTAGGTAGGTACTCATTTTTGAATAATACACCTACTTCAGGTTCACTTGAGATTTTAGTGAATGCGGAATATGTATTATAAAACTTGTTTCAATCCATAATAAAATTTATTAATAGTAGCTTTTCTATTCGCCGAGTACATTTTCTATTTTCGACTTGATGAGATTGGAAGGAATAATTTATGTATCTAAATTATAATGACTCCTAGTGTTTAACTGATATCTGTTTATCAAGGGAATTAGCTTTTTTTATCGATCGTACGGAGGAACTTTTGAAAATCTTCACATTGGAAGTTGATACGTGAAAATTATCTTGTAGGGCAAAACAAGACAAGCAAACCCCTACTTTCGTCGTTACAGCTGAAAGAAAGCTCAAGTACTGTAGAGATATAGAGGTAACTTATAGCGCTGTATTCAAATATACAATGTATTGAATACCGTGGACATAGAAGTGCCACGCATTTTTAGCTTCGAAATAAGTGATTTATAATATTTCTATGCAAAAGTGCTTCATTTGTCCTTTAAAGGGCGTCAAAGTTTTCTTTTCAATACACATTTTTTCAGATATTTTTGGAACCAATAGTCCGAATTGAATGAAATTTGGAATACATAGTATGAGAAATATTGTTAGAAGATATAACGTAACCGGTTCAGTTAATATTAAGCCACGATATGTGAAAAAAGTAAAATCACAAATGCCGACCGAAGAGCATTAAGAAGAATAATCGTGAAAAACAGGCGTGCCAATTATTTACAATTAAGTGCTCTGTGGAGTGACGCTGTTCTAAGGAGAATTTCGAGGTTCACAACTCATAGAGAGGCCCACAAACTGGGATTTAGCACTTGCAAGGTAAGTTTTCTTATAAAATAATAATATAAAAAACCCAACTTGTTTATAGGCCAAAGAAAAGCCACTATTAACTCCACTGCAAAAGAAAAATCGGCTTAGATGGGCTAAAGAACATAGACAATGGACACCTCAACAATGGTGTGCAATACAATGGAGTGATGAGGCCCGATTCGAAGTTTGTGTTGGTGACAGTCGCAGTAGAGTTATTTGCAAAAAATGAAGCATTCTATGTGGACTGTCTGAACAGAAAAGTGAAATTTCCAGCATCAATTATGATCTGGGGCAGTATGTCATCAAAAGGAGTAGGAAAACTTCATTTTATTGATGGAAATGTGGATACAAACAAATATTTGGCAATTTTAGAAGAATCGCTTTTACCGCTGATGGAAGAATGTTTGACGTCCGGCCAAGATTTTGTGTTTCAGCAAGATGGTGCAGCGTGCCATACCTCAAAAAAGGCTATAAAATGGATGGAAGAAAATAATGTACCACTTTTGAAATGGATTTCTAGCAGTCCAAACCTGTCACCTATTGAAACTTTGTGGCACGAGATGAAAAAGGTTCTACGATAACATTAATCAATCGTTGAACTGTGTCCGAACTTGAAAAAAATATTCTGTAACAAGAAGCTAATAATATCTGTAGCGATTACCTTCCAAGCCGTTAAGCGTTATTTTGTTGACGTTTAAAGCGTCCTGCATGCGTTGTCCTGGTTTTAAAAGAAGGGTTGACAGGGAAAAATCCTAATGGAAATTAGGGTATGGAAAGGGCCGTCAGCACATCTGGCGTCCCTTCAAAGGGATATTAGTTCCAAAACGTTGCTCGTGTACAGAATTACCAAACACATTTTGCGGTATAAAAAGCTGGGTGGAAACCGTCGGCCTTACCCTAATCGGTCACCGTGTTATTTTTTCAACCCAGATACGTGAAAATGGCGAAATTCATAGATATCCACGGTCCTCTCTTCCATATCCCTACACTATGCGATTGCGAATTTGAAATCAAAATATTTAATGTGACCTGACCGAATCCGGCTCTACGACACAATTTGTTGATTGTCTCGAAGTTAACACCCTTAAAGTAACTTATAAGAATGTCTGGCAAAAATCTAATATACATAAATTTCTATTCTTGGCTTCCTATGAGAAAATTATACTTGTGATTTCCTTGGTAAATGTGTAGAGTGAACCTCAAATTGTCTATTTTTTGACTCAACTTCAGGGTCGCCGAACATCTATATTTTTAGAAAATTTCAGTGCCGGTTTTCTTATAAAGACGCAGCTGAGCCAGCAGACGCCTAAGCACTAGGGGACCGCGGCATTCAATGAGGAGCTTAAATAAACTTTGTTAATCCTATTTTCAAACAGCATAAGGTTAATAGAAGTATGTAATAAAACAAAAGTGAAACACATAACTTTTGTTAATATCCTTTACTCATAAAGCCGACGTTTCGACATTTATTTGATGTCTCTTTGGCAGACACATCTCGCGGCGATAACATGTTGGGGGTAGAAGAGGACTAGATCACCTACGGCCCGATAGTACGAACGGGTCCCGGGACTGTTCGTTGGAGAGAAGTCATCGATCACTCCGACAGCCCTTCTCTCAATTATCATCGAGCATGGATAATGTAGTCGGGGCGGCAACGCCCCAAGCATGAGAGCAGTACTAGAGGTTATGTCTTGCACAAAGTGAGAAGGTTATGTGTAGAAAAGTACTTCTTAACCGTAAACATATAGTTTAGCTTTTCCCCGGCAGCTGCCGCTATTGACGATAGGTATATGTTCATGCCAAATCAAGTTCTCGGTGATCTGGACTCCGACCATCCGAAATGAACGATTTTTTGGTAGAGAGCCATCGATCGAAATCGAATGAGCGTTGAGGCGCTTCGTGTTTTGATATTGTTGTGTACGCCAGCATTGATATCTTACCTCCACGTCTCTCGTGGAAGAGAAGTCGCTGCTAGTCTTCTTTTCTCTAGTTCTCCGGCAGAGATCAGCCTGCCACTCTTCAGAGTTTTGTGCACCCTGATGCAAATATGCGTCCTCCTCTAACATTAATTGAGAATTTTCGTCCTCCATGACAATATGCCAAAACAAAAATTCGATTTGTGGGTAACTTGGGTGCGTAGATTCTGATTTTAACATCAGTTGACGCTAAGAACGCCCGAATCCTAAGAGACACATTTTCAGCCTCAAGGTCGACCTCAAGACACCAGTACTTTTTCACGGTTTTTCCGGGTTCATAGAAGTACCACGAACCTTTAACCTCAAAATAAGTCGATTGAACATGATTTACTCCTATGCAAAAGTGCTTCGCTTGTCCATTAGAGGGCGTCAGTTGTACAAAAAACCTAAGACGGTTCGAGAAGGGTGAAAACTACCCTCCACCCCTACATAAATTATAGCAGAACTTTTCCACAACTCTCCTAACGACTCTGAGTTTTTTAAGTAAAAGATACTTTTGTATGCGGGTGCTTCAGCTCACTTTGGGCGTTCTGTATGAACTTACTTGAACGCGAAGAAATTGGATGGTACTTGATGATTGGTAGAGGTCAAGAAGCTCCTATTCAATAGCCACCTCTTTCCCCGGATTTTAATCCTTGCCATTTTTTTTATATGGAGAGCATTAAAATAAATGTATACGAGGTTCAGATAGACAACGCCAATCAACTATGGGGCAGGATTCAAAACGCTGCAAATAAATTAAAGAATAGTGACATAGATAAGGCTAAGGTAAATAAAATTGTAATAAGCAATATCATAGTTGTCTATTTCTACACTTAAAGAATTCATTTTTTTTTCTCGAAAACTATGCAAGATCACCTGTTCTTATAAGAGAAAATGAAGTAAATAAAAGGATCCTTCAAATAAAAAATATCAGAGTCGTTGGGAGAGTTGCGAAACAGTTCTGCTATAATTTATGTAGGGTCAGGGGGGTAGTTTTCAGCCTTCTCGAATCTTTTCGGATTCTTTTGAAAAGTTTTAAATATTATGACGTCTAGCAAAACACATCTGTACCGCGACAAGTCTAACAAAGTTGCAATTTCTGAGTTTGATTTCCCAGAATTAAAAAATTTAATTATCAGTAACCGAATTTTCTCACTAATAACCTTTCCTCTACCCATTTTGAAAACCTTAACTACCCAAAACTATTTTAAACGTATTCTGACTGATTAATAAAAACAATTGTCGTGGCTTTTATTTTTCACAGCCACCTATGCGTTATAGACTTATTTTGCATTAAAATAAAAATAGGTTGATATGCTGTAATTGCAACATGTGTTATTTTTATGCTGCAAATTTGATTAGGGAGTGATAAAGTTGGTGTTTTCTACTATGTATCATCAAAATATTCATTGTTAATATTTTAAACCTATAACACCCTGCTCCATTTTTATTTGTGTTTAATAAGAAAAAACTAAGATTTCAATAGTTGGGCCAACTGAAGTGGGAAGGGGCTCGTACACTGAAGATGCCGGGCTCGGAGGGGCGACACGTGAACATGTGATCCGCCTTCAGTACATGCTTAAACTCGATCGAGTTATTTGATTCGTAGCGATTTTTTGTGAAACAGTTTTTTCTATTGTGTTCTAAAAATGAGTGA